AGAGTCTAGTCTTTAGTTGCATAATAAAATTATCTTCTGAAGCGCCATTTATCAAGTAACTCTCTGTTGTTTATTACACCTTTCAATCGTGCAGAGGAATAAGCGCACAAGAACTTGGTCAGGGAGTTATCTTCCTTCTGCATCCCCCGTTCGGCTCAAAGTCAAAGAGACAAGTAGAACTTGTTTGAAACTTTTAAGTAACCGCTAATGATTTTGTTGGGAAGAGAACTTCTAACAACCAGATTGAGCAGATATAAATATTGCTCAAACATCATACCATATCGTTATATAAATCATGCGATATCATCACTTATAACTTTCGCGAGGAATCTGCTCATTTTATTAGAGTCGCACTGTCAATGATTCCAACACCGAAAGATACTAGCAAGAAATCCATAGCTCAGTTTTTAGTGACCTTCCTTACTCTAGTTCCACTAAAAAGTTAGATATGTTTTGCCAGACAACATTATCTGTTTGTTAGTTGATTTAACTTACTATTTTACATAAACTCATTTCAGGTCAAGCGACAGTTGTATAGAAGTTGGTGCTTTTAAATAATATTTTATGTTACTTTGCTTCAAAAATAACGTTGAATATGGAATTACATTCTAGATGTACGAGGGGCTATCCCTCTGGCTTGTGATGGCTACCACACTTCCTATCATAATCAATTTTGGTACAATGTTTGTACTCGCCTTTACCATTTATCAGGTGAAGCAAGTAAAGCCGTTGTGTGACAACCTCACATCCAGGTGAAACTAAAGGGAATTTTACCTGTTTACCACGGCAACTTATCTTTCACGTTCAGCACCCATTGGCTGTCCAGAACGGCAGTGAGGGTTGGAATCGGGCCAACAGCAAAGAAAGCACTGGTCGACTATGCAAAAGGAAAACCAGAATTCTCAAAACTAATGGCTTTTCCTACATGATTAACACCTTCACCGTTTCTGTTTAGTTTCTACAAGAAGAGAACATAAACTACTATTTAATTATATAAGTTTAATTTGGTTAGAAATATAAGGAATGAACAAGATTCTTTTACCCCAGCACTTTCTTAGATGAACTGTTTTCACTCATTCTCTCGCTAACTCTCCGCAATGTTAGTGTTGAACTGC